CAAGTACTTGAAAGGGGTAGGTGAGGTTAAGGGGAGAGGGGGAGAGGAATGAAGAGAAGAGAGGGAAGATACAGTCAAGAATTCAATGTATATCCTACAAAATTTAAACAAGTGAGGGACAAGTTAGGAGGGATGAGTGAGAATGTTGAAATAGGAGACACTGATCAAGATACATTGTATTCATAAACTGATTTGTTAAATGGAAACTCCTTTGTACAACTACTTAAAGATAATAAAGTAAAACTTTTGCACTGAATGGTAGTTTACAAAGTCAGTTTTGAATTTGAAAAAAACAAGTCAACTGATTCTACATTCTAAGATATATTTATTTGCCTTCATTTCTATATCCAAAACTGTGATCCAGTCCTTGGATATATTAGTAATCTTCTAGATCACTCCTTTGTCAACTGACTTTCCCTTTCTAAAAATGTGGTATACTTCCTAGAAAGCCCATATTTCTTTCCACTTTATACACAAATATTCTTTTGAGAAGTCAACCCCTCTTTGAGTCTTCTCTAGTCATCAAGCCTTCAGAGAATTAATCATTTCTTCCCTGGCTACTACTGGACTACTTCTGGGTTTTGTGTTTTTTAATAGTTGGATTACTTAATTTATTGATTCAGACTGCAATCACTTCTCCTTTTATTTATTTATTTATTTTTCTGCCAGTCCTGGGGCTCAAACTCATGGCCTGGGCACTGTCCCTGAGCTTCTTTGTGCTCAAGGCTAGCACCTTCAGCTGCAGTGGCACTTCTGGCTTTTTCTGAATAGTACAGAGTCTGCTGGATTTTCCAGCGGGGGCTAGCTTTGAACAGCAATCCTCAGATCCCAGCCTCCTGAGTATCTTGGATTACAGGTGTGAGCCACCAGGCAACCAATTTACAATTACTTCTTTACCTCAGTTTTAATATCAGTACCAAGGAACTGAAGGTAACACCTTCACTTTTATTCCTCTAGCACAAAATTTAGCCTCCTGTATAGCATTCAATCTATGCTTGTTTCATCAAAATGACATGAGCAATTAAACAGATGAGAAACCTCCCTAATCTGGGAAAATCTGAAAACAGAAGTTAACTTACAAACCCCCATCATTTCAACCTTCCCACTCTTCTAGGTATTAAATTAAACAACCACCAAAAGTCAACCTTTTAGTTCTTACGAACAGTATAGGGGTTATAGAATAAAAAATTAATGCTCAATAGTACTTTAAGTAAATTACATTCTAGTAAGTATGTTTGCACACAATTTGCCTGTGTTTTCACAATTTATTTTGGACACCATACTAGGATGGGTTTCAAGTTGCTAAGGTCTCTACCGGGAAGAAATGCACTACTACAGTGATTTAAGAAAATAAATAGGGCTGGGAATGTGGTTTAGTGGTAGAGTGCTTGCTTAGCATGCATGAAACCCTGGGTTTGGTTCCTCAATACCACATAATCAGAAAAAACCAGAAGTAGCACTGTGTCTAGGGATAGTGCAAAGACCATGAGTTCAAGCCCCAGTACTGTCAGAAAGAAAGAAGAGAAAAGAAAAGAAAGTAAACAAGTATTATCAATAGCACATTAGAGACTTACACAAATTTAATTAAGTAGGTTTCTGAAAAAAACTGAAAAGCAACAATTACCAGTATGTTGACAGGAAAATCAACTACAATGAGTGCCTACAGTAGTCCACAACAACAATGCCTGTACCAAACCAGAAAAACTCACATTTTTCCTGGGGTTCAAGAATTCTGCAAGGACAGTCAAATCATTACTACTAGCAAACTTTATGGCATCAGGGAGGAAAATTCTATGCTACATGCACACAATATTTTTTGCTTCAATTACACTTACTTTGTTGGTAATTTTTTCTTTCTTTCTCTCTTTTTTTTAACATAGGGTCTCAGTCACTGTAAGCTGGCCTTGAACTTATAAGCCTCTATTTTAACCTCCTGAGTGGTGGGATTCAAGTCCTTTAAAATAGTTTTTTACCAGTTGTTAGTCTCAAGAATTCTATTTCAGATATATTAATAGATTCTTCTCAAAAGAATCTTAAATTCTATTATCCCTGTTAAAAATGTTACAATATTCAAAATAATTATTCAATTTTTTATTTTACTTTTATTAATTTTATTTACTTTTGCCAGTTCTGGGGCTTGAACTCAGGGCCAGGGCACTATCCCTGAGCGTCTCTAGGTGCAAGGCTAGATAGAGCTCTACCACGTAAACCACAACTCCAATTCCAGCTTTTTGAAGGGTAGTTTATTGGAGATAATAGTCTCACATATTTTCTCGCCCAGGCCGCTTCAAATCACAATCCTCAGATATCAGCCTCTTGAGTAGCTAGGATTACAGGCATGAGCCACTGGCCCCAGATTCAAAATATTTTTAATGTTTAAGGAATCCTAATTTTACAAGGCAACTCAGGTTAAATATCACTCATAAAATACAGGGTCTTATGCTAAGTACATTCATTAAGAATTGCCTAATATACTTCTCATTCTTCCTAACACTGGGGTTATTATCTTCTATTTATATGGGGGAAAAAAAAGCCTACAGGGGTTAAGCAAGGTCAAAATACTTGCCCCAAATGACCAACTACTAAGTATTACACCTGAGATTACAGTAATTATTTGACTCAGAGTCAACTCTCTTTACTACACATTAATGGCTCCTTTAGGCACTATCTAAGCATAATTTATATGTATAATGAACTTTGCTGTATAGCTACACAATGAATTTCTCAAAAATTACAGAAAAACAATTATGTGAAGAAACACTGCATCAGCATTGAACAACAAGAAAAAAAAACTTGGTTACTCAAGCTTTATCTTTTTACATTTTGTAATCCAATCCACAAACAGCTGCCCTTCAGCTGCAACCCAGACTACTTCACAGTTCTCAAAGTAAGTTTAATTCCTCATGAAATTTCCCCATGTTAGAACCACAAACCTTTTTCAACAATAAATGTTTGTCAGAGTAACAGTTTCTCTAAACAGTAGCGCTATATGATGACACTATTTAATTCAGGTTACTGTTTTATTCTAAACTACCTTACAGCTTAGGAACAGAGTTCTCATATAACTCTCACTTTCAGTTGCATATTGCTTTTTGCAAGCAGTTCCAATAGGTTGTGTACACTTTATTCTAACTGAAGTATACACTTTTGACAGGACAAGTAACAACAGCATTTTCTGCACATTCTTAAATAATTCTGGAACTAGGTGTTGACTATATTCACAGGGAATGCAGCATTTTAAAGAGCACACAGAGATTCTGAGTAAAACTGGAGTAACCAAAGGTTTCTAATCAAAATTGTATAAGCTCTTCACAACCCAACAACCTTGGCACCAGAGAAACTTTGTATAGGAGCTTAACAAACTCAATTTAAAGTGCACCTATACTTCATTTCTAGACCATATCTAAGCAGGCTTTCAATGTGGAACTAGGCTCAAATATATCTAAGTCTGCTTTTCATTTCCATTTATATCATGTATACTTAAATCAACAATTAACTATCTGTCAGAGAAGTGAAAAGCTAAAGTTAAGTCTATCTGATTTAGCCTATTCTGTTAACGAGTATACCACAAAATTTACTTTATACAGCTTTTCCACATATGTACTACATAGATTAAGGTCACGCATTCACAAGATGTTGCATACTGGTGTACTGGTGATCTAATTAGTTGCCATTTATATGTACACTCTATTACATCGTGTTTTAGCACTCTCTGCCTTTGTAACTGTTCTTTTTTTTATGTCTTTCCTTTTGGTACTGGGGATCGAGCCTAGAACGTTGATACTTGGTAGGCAAACACTTTGCCGCTGAGCTTCAACCCAGCCCAACTCTTCTGCCTATGGTTCATTATAAACTAAGTCCCTGCCCTAGAGAATAAATGTTAAGTTACAACAACGTGCTCTTGTATCTAAATGAAAACTGACCTTTCAGCTTACATCCCAATAATCTTACAATACACCAAATAGAACAAATTTGAGACTGTAGTATCAGTAGATAGGAGCCTCAACAATGAATCTGGAGATAACCGTGGACAAGACATTATTACACTGAGAACATAAGGGCAAGAAAAAAAAATTGATCTCGTGTACCATGTTGTCAACGACTTACTTGGTGAAGTGTTTCACGGATCTCAATAAAGAAACTGCTTCTAACACAGCTGAATAAGGTTACACTCCCAGCTACCGCTCCCGTGAAATATGACCCTCAGAACTGGTAAACCAAATACTGTATCGCGGAAAAGCATCTCGTACCCATCGCCTGATTCTTCAGAGAGAGATTGTGGATAAACTCCAATACCGTCACGGATATTGGGGGGGGGGGGGGGGGGCGGGGTTAAGCCAGTTTCAGTTCTGGAAAATATAACCGGCTTATGCCCAGCCTGCGCCGAAGGTGTAAACAAACCCGTCTCCACTGCAGAAGGTAAACAATGAACCTGCCGCGGAGCGAGGGGGCGGGCGCTGGCCAACTCCGCACTCCGCGGTCCGGGCCCCGGCAGCCGGAGGAAAACAACAGCGTACAACCAGACCCGGCCGAGTTATCAAGGCTGCGGGTCCCCCCCCCCCCGCCCCCCGCCACGAGACGCTGGGCAGAGAGAACCGCAGTCAACGCCGACAGCGAGAACCGGGCAGCGCAGGTCCGGGCATCGGCTCCGCGGAGGGCAGGATGTGGTCGCTCTGCCCGCAAACATCCTCCAGCAACCTAAACAACCACCTCCACCTCCCGCGCCCTGGCCGCCCCCAGGGCTCGCGCGCACGGGCTCCGGGTGGGGAGCCGGGAAGGGCTCCTCCCGGGAAGCCAGACGAGCCCGGGGATGGCAGGCGCGGCCGCGCTCCGCCCCGCGCTCCCCCGCCGCCGCCGCCGCAGCCCGGAGGCCCGGAGAGGGGTCGGGCTCGGGCTCGGCGGGGGAAGCGGGCTCGGGAAGGGGGATGGGCCCCCGCGGGCCGGCAGGCAGGGCTGCGCGCGCCGCGCCCCGCGCCCCGGCGGCCCCGCGCCCGCGTTACCTCGGGTCAGGTCCAGCGGGACGTTCTCCTCGCCGCTGTCATTCCTCCCTGCGCGAGACAAGACACACGACCCCGGTTAGGCTTCGCTCCCGGGCCGGCGGCGGCTGCCCCCGGCTCCAGCCCCGGCCCCGGCCCGCTCCCCCAACCCAGGGAGAAAGGCGGGCGGGCGCCGTGGAGACGGGCGCCCGGCGGTGGGGAACGAGGGCCGCCACGGGCTTACCTCGTATTCGGAGGTTCTTCAGAGAGCGGCCGCGGCCGATCGCCGCCATATTGACGGGTTTCAGTCACAACACCGGAAACCTCGCCCGATCGCGCGAGAACCCCCCCTCCCCTCCCCTCCCTCCCCTCCCCGCGCGGCGCCGCGCCCGCCCCCCGCGGCCCCTCCCCGCCCCTGGGCGGCGGGCGGCGCGCGGGGCGGCCGGGTCCGGAGAGCGGCGGGCGCGGGACGGCCGCTCCGAGTGCGGGTGTGGGTGCGGCTCCGGGCGGCGCGGGGCGCGACTGTTCCCCCGCGGCCGCGAGGGGCGTCTCCCACGGGGGAACCCTGTCCGTGGATGCGGGCGGCTGGAGCCGGGACGGAGGGGCCGGGCTGCCGCCGCGGGCCACCTGCTGAAGCCTCCCGGGCGCGGCCCCCGCGTCCCGCAGCCTCCGGGGCCAGCACGGTAGTCGGTTCGCCTTAAGGAAAACAGGGACGCAGCCCGCGCACGCGGCACCGTTTCCAGCGCTGTGCGGGATCCCCTCCCGGGCTCTCCGCGCCGACCACGTCCACGCGTAACCCAAGCGTGCGTAGCGCGCCCGCAGCCTCGCCCGGGACCCCCGGAGGGCGCCCGCGGCCCGGGGCTCCTCCGCGGGCAAGGGTCCGGGTGGAGGACTCGCGGTGGGCCGCCGGGCACGCGGGGCGGAGCGGGGCGCGCAGGGCGGTCGCGGTCCCCGGCCCGCGCGGGGCTGCTCCGCGGCCGGCGCCGGGGGGCCCGGGGCCGCGGCGACGTCTCGCTGTGGTCGGATGTGGATGCTGAGGGACGTGTGTTACACGCCACCCTCACACTCAGAGGACTGGGATTTCAGTTGTTACCCCCGTGTCAGACACCTCCATCTCTGGCTCAGCAACTCCGCTTCAGCTCCATTTACTTGGAGGAGAGAGAGCACGTTTTTGTCGCCTGTTCTTCCTCTTTCAGGACCTTGTTTTCCCAGCTCCCCTTCCGTGCCATGTCCAGAACAAATAAATGGTCAATAAATCTCTGTTGGATCAGGATAAGCCCTGAATTCCTTCTCGCTGGTAATGTTCTTCGTGCTCAAAAAATAAAAATGTTTTTAGCTGATTGCAGTTATGAGTAACCGTTAATAATTGGAAACATTTAAAAGATCAAAGGAATTACGCAAAGTATGGCAGCAGCCATTTAAAATCACAATATAAATTTGGTAAATGAATAGCTCAAATGAACCAAGAAATTACAGTTTCCCTGTTTTTATAAACGCTTGAATTAAGCGTGTATTAAACACGTATGTGCATGTAAGTAGAAGAAAGGCCAAGCTGATCTACACATCAAAATGTGAACTGGTTTTCTCTCCAGTCATGGAATTACACATGGTCTTTCATCTGTACCTTTTAAATTTCCTGCAGCTAGTATGTATCATTGATAAAAATAACTGCAAGATTTTAAAATAAAGGAACATCAAGAAAACAAAATAGGAACTCTCCCTAAAAGGCCACCTGTTCATCCTGTAGTACTGATCCTGTTCTTAACAGTTATCTCCTACTGATACTGCACTTAGGTTCAAGGATATAACTACACGACTTTAAAGAAGTTTTCTAAAATTTATCAGTAATAACTTTAATAACTTGCTTCCATATGCAGATAGGTGTGTGTGTGTGTGAAAGAGACTGAGTTCTTACAATGGTTCTAATATTTGACCAATCTATCCTATTTTCTTATTGAGTTCTACCTATTCCAAAGAACCTACTTTCTAACCCAGTTTAACTTCATTTTCTCATTCAGTCTGCCGTTAAAACTAAGTACAACTGATCCACATTTATATTATTTCAGGTATGGGTCTGAAGATAGCCTTTGATCGTTGTTTCTGTGCGTGCTTAAAGACATTAGTCAAGTACTCCATGTTTTCCAGGAGGAAAAATAAAGTCACCTTTCTTCAGTCTTAGAATGGAACTAGTTTTCCTTCTATTACTATTTCAGTCTGTTGAAGAGTTTGCTTATTCAGTTGGCTGTCAGAGTGAACAGTATTTCTGATGAAAAAAAAGAGAAGTTCTTAATGTTTGCGAATGACAGTCAATTGGAGAGCAAGAGTTTAGGTAAGATATAGTAAGGTGTCCATTTCACAATATCTTGCATGTTTTTAAACCAATGCCACTATTGGTGGACTCAGGTTGGTACTTTGTTACTTGTTAAGATCCCAGATCATGTTTTCTGTGATACTTGTTAATGGCTTACCATTCCTCCTCTCAAAAAACAAAACAAAACAAAAACAAAAAATCCAACTTGTTTTTCTCCCCTTACTTACTTTAACCCATCTAAATGACTTACTCATTTTGTTTACTTCTTACTACTTCTCCAATTTTATTTTGATTCTAATCTGGTCATTGAGAATGTGACTTCCTCTTCTTGGTTTTCACTTCCCAGCTTAGTTTCATTTGCTGTGTCAATGAATGTTGTTTTCTTTTCCTGATAGTATTAGTCATTGATTTAAAAAAAAAAAAAGTTATGAAATGGAGGCCAAGACCACACCTCTAAATCATAACTGATTTTGCAGGTACTAATGACTTCATTGACTGTCTGGGTTCAATTCTCTATCCTGGTACATGCAGTTAATAAACCATGTTTTATCAGGTTTGGACAGTGTTGTAATGTTGAACAGAGACAGAAGCCTCCTTGCCAAAATCTTAGTTCCCTTTAATCTATCAGCTTTGGTGCATAGGCCTTATGGAGGTGAAAACAAACTGAAAACCACAAAATTTGGTCAGTCTATTTCTTGGTCACTTCCCTTTTAATTAAACCACACAATGAATATCTCAATAAAGCCCATTAGAAATAGCAAGTGATGGACTAAATGAAATAAATTTTATAATTGTAACAAAATCCCATCAGAATGTATCTCAGAATTAAGGATAAGCATTGCTGTGTATTTTAGTGTATCCCAAATTTAAATTTCATTTCTAAACAATTCTGCTAGGTATAAAGACCTCCTACAAAAACAGTTTTAAATGAAAAACAAACCTGTGTTTGTAAAAGAGTAAAGTACACATATTTATAAAATAAAATACCCTAACATTTCAACAGTGATTATACCTGCATTGTAGAAATTTGAGTGATTTTGGTCTGTTGTATTTTTCCTATTTTACTTGTGCTAAAACAAATTTCTACTTGTCTACCTTTTCCTAAGGAAAATTAGACAAAGTTGTAAAAGCTTTTATTAGCATGAAATTAGTTGTACAAAGGGGATTTCATTGTGAGACTTTCACACATACATACTAAGTATCCTAGCAACCTAACCCCTTATTTTAGAGAAATTTTGCTGTTTGTTTAACTCAAATTATAAACATTACAATAACAAGTAATCATTGAAAGTTACATTTCTGGTGACACAATATAATGCAATGGAATTGAATATACTTGAACTTTAAAAAATAGCTTTTGTTGAATTCTGTGATATAGCAATTCTAGAGTTCTCAAAGAATCTAGTTCTAAAAAGTTTATTTAAATATTGGAATTTAATAGCCAAATTGTCACAAAATTGTCTAAGAATGTCTAATTATGGAGATCTGGTCCATGGCTACAGTTTCTAGGCTATCACTCATTTTTCAACCTCATCTATCAGATTTCTATGTAATTTCACTAATGAATTTCCATCTTTCCTAATGTCAACCTGTTTGCCTTAGCGCTAGAAGACATAAAGGAAATTTCAGTAAATGGCTACCAAATGAGTTCAAAGCCACTCAACTGAAAGATTAGAAACTTTATTCCTATGATTTTTTAAAGAATACAAGTGTGAAAAATTGTCACATTTACATTTTATTTTCAGAAAACAAAACAACATTAAAGCATTTCTATTTTAGATACATTGCTTTTAAAAATAAAAATGTTCTAAATTGTTATTATAATTACCTCTTTAAAATAATTTGAGCTAATTAAATATAGCATATATAATTATACATACTACGTAAATATCATAGGTAACATTGTATTAGAATCCTCTAGTCATTGGAAGAAAAGTTTACTACTGAGTAAATAGCAAATATCTGCATGACACAAAAGATTTTGTTGCTCTTCAGTCCTTTCTTAATTCAAAGCACATGAAAATTAAACTCTGAAAAATATTGTTCATACAAAATGATCACATATAGAACTATCTCTGCACTTCCTTTTCTGCTTGGTTCTTTGGGTTGCTGTTATTGTTGTTTATTCCATTGTCCAATTGAAACTTTTTAATATATACACAGGATTCTAGAGAATAGTAAAGCAATAGAAGTCTTGAACACGTATAAATCTCATAACTCACAGGGGAAACATCTTTATATTTCCTTTATGATGTATTTTTTTAAATTCTGTTGGACATATCTCTACATTTCTCTTCAAAACCCCTTTAAAATTTTGTTAGTAGGAACTGCTCCCATCAGTTTCACAAAGCACTGCTTTTATTAAAGAAGTTCTTTGCTGATAAGAATTCATGGTTTTGGGGTCTACTTCTTTTAAATCTTTAGTGGCATAGAAAAAAACTTATTTGTGTATTTCAGTAAGGAACAGAACAGCTAAGTCAGATTTAATAACATCTCTACTTCTACCTAACTGCATAGCAGTGTCCATAAGTGGTCTTTGCTAGAGTATTTCTTTATACATATCTTCAACTTGTTTTCCCCTTTTTTGCCTCATTTTACTAATGAAACTGCATTTTGTCAACAAATAATTTGTTTATTCCAGGCATTTTTTTTAATTTTTTAATTGTTTCCAGGCATTTTTTATTCCATACCAGGAAATACTACTATAATCCCATTGAGATGTACTTTCTTGTCTAAGACTTAAAAGAAGTCTTTGAACAAAATAATAAATTCAATATTGCACTAGATCTGGCACCACTGTAATATATTAAAAATTATCTTTGTATTATGACAGCTCATATAAAACATTTTTCTAATCTGATATATGTCATCTATATCTTATGGAACCACATATACTTAGATTTACTTGATGTAAATTATTATTTTTCACAGCCTAATGATTCCATTTTTTAAATATTTGACATTTAGTAAAGCATCTATAATTACATTCATTAGTATTATTTTT